TCTGCTTTCAGCAGCGGAGGTCTCATAGCTGGAGCCGAGCCTCAGAGCTAAAGCTGGTGGCCTAGAATTAAAAAAAAGGAGAAAAGGACAGGTTGGGAGCTTCAGTCACTTGCCAGCCTGAAAATGGCCCTCAGCCCCTCACCCAGACTGGCCAGGCACCCCAGTGGGGACCCCCACCCTGAAGGGGGTGTGACCAGATGCAAACAACCATCATCCCCTCACCCAGACTGGCCAGGCACCCAAGCGGGACGCCCACCCTGATCAGGGGACACCCTTCAGGGCAAATCAGCCAGCCCCCACCCGTGCACCAGGCCTCTATCCTATATAGTAAAAGGGTAATATGCCTCCCAGCACTGGTATCAGCGGAGCCGCGAGGCCTCCCGAACCTGGGATCAACGGAGCCGTGAGGCCTCACGCCCTGGGATCAGCGGAGCTGCAAGGTCTCCTGGCACTGGGATTAGTGGAGCCGCGAGGCCTCCTGGCACCAGGATCAGCAGAGCCTCGCAGCACCGGGATCAGCGGAGCAGGGAGGCCTCACTGCCCCTGTCTCAAGCAGAGCAGCAAGGCCTCCCAGCACTGCGATCAGCATGACGGGGCAGCGCCCAAACCCCCTGATCGCCCTGAAGCTCTGTGTGTGACAGGGGGCGAGGCCACAACCTCCTTATCAGCTCTGCTCTGTTCATGACAGGGGAAGGCGCCCAAACCCCCTGATCGGTCCTGCCCTGTGCCTGATGCGGGGAGTTCTCCAACCCCCTGATCGGCGCTGCTCTGTGGGTAACAGGGGGCGGCGCCCCAACCCCCTGATCTGCCCTGCTTTGTGTGTGACAGGGGGCGGTGCCCCAACTCCCCTATCAGCCCTACTCTGTGCATGACAGGGGGGAGCTTCCCAACCCCCTGATCAGCTCTGCTCTCTGTGTTACAGGGTATGGAGCCCCAACCCCTCTGATGGGCCATGCTCTGTGAGTGACAGGGGGCAGCGCCCCAACACCCTGATTGGCCCTGCTCTCTACGTGACAGGGGGTGGCGCCGCAAACT